CCTCCACCAGGGGCCGCCGCCAAGACCGCGGAGCACACCAGCGTCGCATCCCGAGGAAGGGGCGGGACCGCCGCCATGCCTCTAGCGCCGGACGGGCTAGCGCGCGCGCGCGCGTGGATGGCTTTTGAGACAAAATGGCCCTGTGTGTGGAGCAACGAGATCTGCGAGGGAAGGGGAAGCAAATCAAACATCAAGGCGCGCGCGACCGTGCCAGCGTGGAAGGAGCGTGCACAGAAAAAGGTGGCAGCGCCGCTGGACCAGCGTGAAGCAGCCGCGTACACGTCCACAGCAGCATTGGCAAAGGCGACAACAGCAACGCCAACGCTCAGAGAAGAGGACGAGCAGGTGGAGAAGAAGAAGGAGAAAACACAGCCCGCGAGGCGCGGGTCTCGGGCGTCAGTCCCTTCTGCTGTCAGTGGAGCATCGTGAACAGGTCGAAGGGCCGCTTCACGAAGTACTCGTACTTCAGCTTGCAGGCCTATCCCTTCGCCTGGCAGGGATATCGTGCACTTGGTCATCTGCCGTTGCAGCAGTAGACCGACCGCCGCTCGAGGGCGCCGTGGTCGTTGGGTTCCCTTCCTCAGCACACGCTGGCCTAAGCCCTCGCCTGGCAGGGGTATTGCAGCGTGTTTGATCTTCTCGAAGAAGCTTCCCTTGTCATGGGCAACCTACCGCTGCAGCAGGTGACCCTCCGCCTCACGGTGCCGCCGTCGGGGGTGATGTCGTCACCGCCTCGCTCGCATCAGGCCTACCCCCTCGCCTGGCATGGGGTGCATGCTGACGGTCTTCTCGAACTGTTCGATGGTGCGGGACGCCAGCTGGGTCGTGCGACGCTACCGCAAATGGAGCTCCATCGCTCCGCGTCGCCGTCATGGACCCTGCTCTCGCCCTCCCAGCACTTTCAGGCCGAACCCCTCGCCTGCCAGGGGGCCGCACGCTTGGGCTCCACGTCGTACCAGCTCTTGAGCTTGGCCGCCCGCCGCTGCAGCAAATGGGCCTTCGCATCTCGTAGCCGCCGTCGTTGCTGATGAGCTCGCCGGTGCGCACCCAGGCCTAACCCCTCGCCTGGCCGGGGGATGATGCACTGGGCCCTCTCGGCTCCGCTCGTGTCGTTCTGGGCCACCTGCCGTCGCAGTTTGTGGCCCGTCGCTTCTCAGAATCGCCGTCATAGATGAGCTCCTGGTTTCAGCACCAGCAGTGTCAGGCCTAAGAAAGGGGGCGGACGAGAAGGTGGAGGAGGAGGATAATGAAGAGGAGGAGGAGAAGGAGGAGGAGGACGAGGAGGAGGAGTAGGAGGACGCCGGAGGATGGCAGGAGGCGTGGGCGCTTGGCGCATTGACAACGAAAACAAAGAACCAACTCCACACAAAGGCTGAGAAACGGCATTCCAATTAGCATGCCTATGCTTGGCCCCTCGGACGGGCATGTCTCACCTGGCGCCCCTGTCGTCCAAGTCCTGCTAGCCGGCCTCCTCATCCCCCCCGGGATCCCCCTCCACCCCGTCATCCTCCCTCACTCTTTGTTGTCGTCCTTCCTTCCTCAGCGCCTCTTCCTCCTACAATGTCCCGCACACTCTTCGGCTTCGTGCAAACTATCCCGCGCATCCGTCTCCTCCACCTCATCGTGTCCTCTCTTCCTCTTCCTCCTCCTCCTCCTCCTCCTCTTCCTCCTCCTCCTCCTCCTCCTCCTCCTCCCTCTCCGCCTCCTCCTCCTCTCCTCCTCCTCTTCGTCCTCCTCCTTCTCCTTCTCCTCCCCCTCCTTTTCCTCCTCCCTCCTCCCTCCTCCGCCTCCTCCTCCTCCGCCTCCTCCTCCTGTTCGCGCGCGCCTGAGGGATCAATGGCAAACACCAGCCCGCGATGCCGAGTTCGCTGTTTGCGACCTGGGGGCTGTCGGCGGGCTCTCAGAGGGGGGGGAGGGCGGAGGGGGGGGGGTCCATGCTCAAAGTGTTCCCCACGAGTCTCGGCAGCGCCCCGTGTGTGGGGGGGGGGGAAGTGAGAGGCGGCATTGTTCATTTTTTATCAGCGGTGACTTGGGTCCAAGACGTGGTCAAAGCAACGGCGGGACTTATCCGTGGCGAACTGGGCACGCTGGAAAGAAGGAAACGGACCAAGAGCCCAAGGGGGAGGGCTGCCGCAGGCGGCAAGGCAAGATCAGGTCATGAAGACCTTGTACGTGTGAGCTAGACGTGGGGGCATACACAATACACAGTTCGAGTGAAGGTACGACCGCACTCGTCGCCACAACGCAATCCAGGGTGGCTAATAGTAAAGGTCACATGAGTCGTGCTAGGTGGCGGCCAGGGTCAGCGCCGCGGGCTGGGACCGTCCAAAGGATGGGCGGGAAACAATCCGAGAGCCAACGTGGTGGCGGCGTGCGAGCGGGGCACAGAACCAAGAGGAGCGCTGCGGTACAAAATGAGAGCAGCCGAAACACGCAGGTAATGGATGACCGTCCAGGGTCGCTCCGTCGCAACCCGCAGGAACACGAGGAGTGAGAGGGGGCACGCCTTCTCAGAAAGCGGCCAAAGGCCTCCTGAACGTTCTGAAAGGGCGTACCCCTTACCCCATTCCCTTCTGTTCGCGCCGCCGACAGAATGTTGCCTCCTGTCCAGCTCGACCCATATCGTTTGCCGCTCCGGCTTCCCCCTCCCCTCTGGCCTTCCGATCCGCTGGAGCCCCCCCCCCCCGGCGGACTGTCCAATCGTTCGCCCTCCACTCCTCGATTGCTGCATGACGTTTCCTGTCTCCCTGGCCAAGATCGACCGCAGCGTCCAGATCTCAGAAGCCCTCCTCGTCTCCCACCCCCCATCCAGCTTTTCGGCCCCCACCAGCTCAGCCGATCTGCCCCCTTCATTTCCGCAGCCCCTGGCCTGGCCCATTCTCGCCCCAGGCTACAGATCCTCTCCCGTTCAGCCCACTTTGTGTCTTGCCCCTGTTCATTTATGCCTCTTCCTCCTCATCCTCATCCTCGTCCTCGTCCTCCTCCTCGTCCTCGTCCTCGTCCTCCTCCTCCTCCTCCTCCTCCTCCTCCTCCTCCTCATTGTCCTCCTCCTACTCCTTTCCCTCCTCTTCATCATCATCATCCTTTCCTCCTTTCCTCCTTTCCTCCTCCTCCTCGTCCTTCTCCTCCTCCTCCTCCTCCTCCTCCTCCTCCTCCTCCTCCTCCTCATTCCCCTATTTTCCTTCGTCGAAGAGCGCGGACACGTTCCTGGCGCGGGCTCGGTCGCCGCAGGCGCGCTCGCCTGTAGAGGGAGGTCAGATCCGAAGAGGCTGCTGAACAAATCGAACACGTCGGGTCGGTCACCTCCTGCAGTCTCCATCGTTTCACTGAATTCGTTCCATTCGGCACCGACCTTGAACGCATGCAAAGACTAGGTGGTTCTGCGCACACACTCTGCCCTTTTAAGGCCGCGTAGCAATCCAGACATTGGTTTGTGATCGCGCTGCTCGGGATACTGAATCGGAGTTTGCGCCGAGAGTCTTGATGGGTCGTCAACTCCCGATAGTTTGGAAACGAGATTTCGCAACATTGTCCAGTCTCGTGGTCAATAATTTCGCATTTGTACACCTTCTGGTTCGCGTCGATCACGTCTATTGGCCCATCGTAGGAGCGGGCCCAGATAGGCTCCCCAGGGACACGTGCTGCTGTTCGGAGGATACCAGGGCTTAGGCGTAGAAGCTCACGTTCAACATCGGAGTTCGGGGTAAGGAGGTCTGTCCAGGGCCCGGGTCTTCCCAGAGGTTCCCGCGCCGCTGATGTCTCGAACGAGGTCGAGGTCCCCAAAGAACTGGCGGGCCTGCGGGTTCGTCGTAGCTTGGATGCGGCCTGTTTCGTCCAGTCCACTCGGGACGTGTCCAACAATTTCGACGAACGCTTGTCTGTGGGCTGGCCTCTAACGAAATATACTCTGAAGCCATGTAATTCTCTTGACCGCTAGCTCGGCTCTGACTGGCAGGGCCTCCCAATTATTGAGAAGCTCGGCGCTGCTCATCGCCGTCACGCGCGAACCCACGTGGACCGTCCGGCGCGACCCTGCAACTAGGCACGAAGGTACTTCACTGTTTGGGAGTCAAATTTTTCCCCTCGGTCTTCTTCAAGGCGAAGGCCTGCAAACCCGAGCGCCGCGCCCCCACCACCTGCCCCAATAACGCGCCCCCCACTCAGCTTGCAGAGGCCCCTCTCGTTCCAGAACTGCCTCGGACGACGCCGCCCCGCGGTCATGGCTCACGCGCGGGTGGGGACCTCCAAATCAATGCTCTCTGTCATCGCGCTCATAGCTCCGAGGCGGCGCGCATCCGAGACGACCGGGCCCTGGGTCGGCGGGCAAAATTCCCGGGGCTTCCGAGCCTCAAAATGAAACCTGAGACACAGTGCAATATCGTTGTGTGAATTGTTCTGCGCGCACTACCAGCGCTGAAATATGGAATCGAACATCTTGCCGCCCGATTCAATCATCTCCATCGCCTCCGCCGTGGCCCACGATGGGCACGAGCGTTTCTTCAATATATCGCCAACGAAACCCGACAGGTTTCGCCCTGGTGGCATGCCTCGGCTTCATCGCGCATGATGACCGGGACCTGCGGGACATTCTTCCCGTCTGAAATATAATCCAGATAGACCCATGCGAACTCACTGCTGAGGCGACCCACTCGATCCCTGTAGCCCACCGCGATGCAGCACAAACGCGCCTTCTCCATCCTCCACTGGAATGTGCACAACGCTGCTCGCAAGCAATTGGTGCGCCAATGCAAGTAAGTCTCGTTGCGCGACCTGCTGCGCGATGCGAAGAAGGCCCCCCGATCGCAGGCAAATGGACGCGTTCGCGAGGTCATGCAGCTCATTTACGCGGCGTTGCTTCTGCCATCGGAGTGGCCGCCCAGCGCGTCGCTGCACCAGAATGGCTCCTTCCTGTCGCAGATGCGCTCGACATCCATGCTAGTAGCTGCGGATTGCGCAACTCCATGCCCGTTTTCTGTCTCCACAAATGTATGCAAACGCGT